TGGTATGTACGTTCGAACGGATGCTGCGAGAACGCGCCGCATGCGTCTACCACATCCTTTGAGACCAAGGCAGCTAGAAAAAGAAACAAACTCGCAGCCAACATTATACTCAGAGTTGTAGTCTCACTCCTGAACTCGTCTTAGCCGTCTGACTGAGCGAGGTACTGACATACGACTCTTAAATATGAATAGGGGTACATTTGACTGTGTGCCAAATAACTCACAAAACTCTGCTCTGTTAGCTTGTTGATATTTTCTTTCACCTACGTGTTGCTTGCAGTGATGAAACGATCTGTCCCCCATAATAGCCTTTTAATGAATTAGTTGACCGCTCGTCGAAAGGTCACGAAAGAAAAATCGAAAACACCATTGTTAGCCGTGACGCGAAAAGAAGGGCAATGCGTACGATCTCTTTTTTTGGCGGGACCACCAAGACGATGCACTAAAACAAAAAGTTTCTGCTACAATATATGGTGCTGAAGCCCGAGTGCAGTTCCTTGTTTAGTCCAGACGGGTGTGTGCCACTAAACTGGCCGGGGTAACACGATGGCATTCTGTTGTCAGAAAACAGGCGCGGATCTAGGATAAATGAGTCCCCTTTCCTGGTTTTTCGAGTTATTCCTTTAGGATATTGGCCAGATTTCAACTTGGAAAGTGTTTTTATTATGAAAAATAAATTTGTCATGAAAAATGTGTCCGATTTCGTTAAAACAGTCGAAACTGGTGTGGATCCACGCCAGGAAAACTTAATCACGTTAATTGCCGGAAATTTAGTAATCAACTGCAAAATAAATAAGATACGTCGGACAGAAATCAATCAACGTCCGGAACTTAGCCAGTGAGCAAGCTCTCCATTTGGGGGAATCGCGAGGAGTTATGCGAGAACAACACGCGAAAGGAGACGCCAGTGCGAGAGGCGGAGAAATCCGCGCTTCTCTCTCGCGGTTTCGCCGCTCGTTCGCGCGTTGTCTTGCAGCTCGCTTAATTGGATATCATAAATGGAGAGCTTGCCAGCAGGCTTTCCGGAACT